GAACAACCGCTACACCCCGCCACTGATAAGCACCGGCCCGGGGATGTTCCATCGCCACAATCTCCCGCGACTGTAGGCCATTTCGTCACGAAACGCGACCACGAAAAGCTTCACTTAAGCACCATACACGAATTAGACACGTTATCACACCCTCAAGCCGTAATCGATTCGCAATCCTCCCGCATTTCGCGCAAATTTGTTCTCTCGAACATATCAACTTCATCTCCCAAGACTGTGCACATTGTCCTTGCACAGTCGCCCGCCACCTGCCCACGACCTCCCGTTCCACAGCTTTATGCAACATTGGCCGACAGAGTCTTCAGAAACGCAACATCAACAAGATAACCCCTCGGACACCACTACCTCAGTCCAGCATGGCTTTTCTTCGCGCCAGCAGCCCAACGGCGTCGCTGTCCTTCGCCGCGAAGAGACAGGCAGTGCATCTCCAAGATCTGTTCCAGACGGAGGGCGCCGTGACTCATTCGACGCCGTCAGCGCCGCCCAGCTCGACGAGAAGCTTCGCCGGCTGAGTTTTGACGATTCAGCTTCTGTTGATAGCCATTCAGCCGTCGCTGGTCAGCGAGTGATTGATTACGAAAATGCGCAAACCCCGTCTACTCCCCGTCAAGCTTTGGGCTTCAAGGTCATCAAGCGATCTGAGAATCGACCCGATAGCGTGCAGTTGACAGACTTTCCAAATGGTATGCAGGACAAGACAGAGGATCGCAATTGAACCCCCGCTAACGCTATGGTTGTAGAGTTGTTGACCCACGTCCTATCTCACCTACATCCCGATTCGCACTCGGCGATAGCTTTGGTGTCGAAGCGTTTCTACTCGCTCGTTACGACGCCCCATGCGTGGCGAATGGCCTTTTTACGATTCTTCCCGGGTCACGATAGTCTGACTACAAAATCTGGCGAGCAGAATCGCGCAGGGCCCTTGGACCATGACTCTTTCGAATTCGTTCGCTCAGAGTCCCGCTACTTTTCTCGCTTGACTTCTCTTGCGACGTGGCGAAGTGAATATCTACTACGAACCCGTCTTTTGAGGGGCCTCATCAGAGGTAAACCAGGTGCTAAGCCTGGCGGCATTGGAGCATCTGGCCGAAGCAGTAAGAAGACAAGCGCTGTCTTGACCTACAACTCGAAGCTGCCCTGGGCTGTGACCCACATCCATGCCGACTTCACTGTCAAGAAGGCTCCCCGGGTTATTCACGGCACTGCCAACCTTGGTGCCGCGACCTTGAGTGATTCTTTTATTGGCAAGGTGGAGAAATGGGGATTCCGAGACCCTTTCACCATTCTACAGCTGGACGAGGTGTTTCCCAATCTTGAGCCATATGGTGCTGGCGATGGACCCGCCGCTTGCCCAAACGTCATGGATGTCAGCCAGCCCTATGGCATGCTCTCCGGCGAAGGCTTTCCAGGCGGACGTGCCTACTACCGCCCGATCAATGAGATGCATGGTCGGTATCTTGGTAGCGACACTGGCGTAATCGACACCTACCCCGATATTCCCAAGATCCCTGAACTATCAGAAGCGATTTCGGCCGTTTGGGTTGCTAAATCCACTGCTGTACCCAACATTACGCACTCCACGGTCGGGATCATCACCGGCTCAACTCTCGGAATCGTCACTACGTATGCGCTCCACGGAGACGGAAGTGGCCCGCGGCATCCCAACGGCGAGATGACAGCGCGATGGGTGCTCAGCCCCGGTGTTCCGATCGTCTCAATCAAAGTCGACGATCAGTATACCCAGAAGCGCAAGACTGCCCAGCGCGTATGGGCTGTGGCTCTTAATGCCCTGGGAGAGGTGTTCTACCTGGTCGACGTGCCGAAGACAAGTCTGGAGCGATCTAAAGGCGAAGATGTCACCAAGAACGCATGGTTCGCCGGACGCTCAGTCTACTGGCGGCTCATCGACGACTCCCGTCGCCAGGCTCGGCCCGATGAGTTCGACAAGCATGCTCTCCGAGGTGCTTATTCGCCTCGATCTCCCGCAGACGCGATGAACTTGAGTAAAGAGCAACTCGTCGCGGAAGCCCGTGAGATTGAAAAATTCCTCCGTTACAAGCCGTCACATTTCCGGAAGGTCTGTGATGGCTGGGACATGCGAAGAAGACTGGAGGTCGACTTTGCGAACGATGACGCCGGCGGCGCCGGGGAGGTCATTGTCTCTATTCATTGCGGGCTGGAGGAGACACATCCCCCGAGCGTCACTCGCTATGCCCGAGCCATGTCCCAAACGCCGCGACAGACTCCAGACACTGTGGAAGATACTGCTGCAGTCTATCAGGATGTCCCTCCAGTGCAGCAGTCAATATTTGGATCGGGAAGAGACTACAAGCATGAGTCTCAGTCCCAGCCCAAGCCTACCAAGGCTGTGGTTAAGGGCGATGTGACACCCATCTCGTCCGGCTCGCTAACGCCCCAGGCAAAGCTCAATTCCATGGATGAATGGGCCGTTGCTACAATGTCACTCGGCAACTATGGAGGTTCAGAGATCACTGCGTCGGCTCTTGATTTGTCGTCACACGCACTTCTCACATTAACGGAAGACCCTCTGCAATTTGGGTCCAGACCTGCTGCCACTCCTACAATGACACCACAGACTGCCGAATCGTCGACAGAAATTCCTGGTCGGCGAACCCGTATGCTGGCTGTCGGAACCAAGGACGGATCAGTTGTTGTCTGGAACTGTCGCGAGCAGCGCAGTATGTCCACCATCTCCCCTCTTCGCATCATTCAAACAGAGTCTCCCGAGATCAGTTGCCTGGCCTTGACGGCTTTGTATCTGGTACACGGCGGAAATGATGGCTTGGTACAAGCATGGGACCCGCTGGCATCTTCGCTCGAGCCGCTCCGTACACTCAATGGACGTTCCAACGGTCGAGTACCCCGTCACATGATGACGATGAACCCTGCGCTCCCGATCGATACATACTCAGCTGCTCGAGCCATCTACCTCGACCCTGATCCTACTGTGTTGCGTGGTATTACGTCTTTCGGGGCCTTCCTGCGTTACTGGTCTTACAGCGCCACTCACCAGCCGCCTGGTCGTAAACGTCGGCTTCGACACGCCGATGTTCACGGCCGCCTTGCTACTAGGCGCCAGGGCGGGAATGTTTCTGGCTACATTGCCGCAGAGACTGCAGAGCTTCGGCGAGAGGAGGAACAGGACATTAAAGAAGAAGCCTGGTTGCGCAACAGATTTGGCGTTGGCGCTTTTGGCGACTTGACCGAGGAGGAGGCTCTCCAATATGCGGAAATGATATCCCAGGAGACACTGCTGCTCGAGGAGCAGCGTCGCACTAGCGCCAGCGACACTGGTTCTGCCGCCGATGCTAGCTTCGACACGGTATCGTCCTTCAGCGAAAGTACTGTGGACACAGTTACACCGGAGCCCAGTATTACTGGCTTTACCCCCCCGCCTCCCGTCGTTGAGGAAGAAGACGAGTACGAACAGCAGCTCCAGCAAGCTCTTCGACTTTCTCTGATGGAGGCTACCGACGATGTGGCTCAGTCTCCTCGCAAGAACAGCTCCAGTGATTTCGAGTTTGCCATCAAGTACAAGTCCAAACCGGCGAAGAAGACGACAAAGAGAACACCCTCCATGTCTCCCCCAGCAACTTACAAGCCTGTCGCTGGCGCCAAAGCAGGTTCTTCCAGCAAAGCCACGCCTAGGGACGACGACCTTGAGTTGGCTCTCTTGCTCAGTAGTGCTGGATCCGCGAGCCACCCTGCACCACGAGACGATGATTTGGAGCTGGCTTTGCGGCTGAGTCTGCAAGAGAATGGTGCCGGCGATTTCTCTGGCCTCGGTATCCAGCAGGAGCAAGAGGAGTTTCCCATGCTGGAGACTCGCGGGAAGGGCAAGGGCAAGATGTAAAGGCGGCAGTGCCTGTTCGCCGCCATGGTTCAATTGTCTGATTTGATTGTTATTTTTGTACTCTGCCATTCTGTCTCCTGCTCGACTGCGGATAATGCTTCTGATACACTTCTTCTTCATCGCACGCGGGGTTTAGACTCGACGCTTTGAGCCACTGGCATTACCTTAGGGTACTCTCAATCGAGAGTCGTTGAAATATACATTTTGAACTGCGTTAAACCAAATTCGCCTACTTGTAGGCACAAGGTTTGCCACCAATTGCTGACGGGATCTGCTTGCAAAGGGTTGACACATTCACATGAAGAAGTATAAGAGTATTTCCCAGTGCAGACACAATCTCAATGCAAGCGATGACCACCTGCCACAGGATCTCCTTCGCCGGCCTGGCTAACCAGAGCCCATAGAAACAAGGTGCATGCCACATGCCCCCGTCGCCGTGGCCTCATTCTAGGTGTACGCAGCGAGGCCTTGTATGCCCTGTATGTCTAGATCTCTCCACAACAGGCTGTTCTCGCCTACCCTCACGACACCATCATCGGCCCAGCAATGACTGACCTCTTCCTGCCCATGTGCCAATCGAGAAGTCAACTCGCACGCGCGGGAGTAGCTATACGGCATATCATTCTGACTGCAAGTGATCTCCGTTCCTGTTACTGCTCCTTGATCCGGTGCCTTTCCGCTCGCAGGCCATGTCTAGCGGGCGGGAGACCCCGAGTATCTAGACGATGCCTAGCGGCGATCTGAAGCTGGAAGGACGGAGATGTACGTCTCCAGTGGTCACCCAGAGATGAAATTTCTCAGCAGTCGATTCTCATCCCGATGACGAGTGACTTCGACTCATTTGCAGATCCCGAGGTATGATGTGAGGGATCCGGCATGATGTCGCAGCTCCCGAGTCGAGTATGATTCCTCGCCTCGATGACTTCTTCGTTGAATTGTTAGCTTCTCCTCTTCATACATCCTGCCTATATCTTGTACGTAATAATATCAAGCCGAACGCTACGTCTTTGAAGGCTCTTTATTGCCTACCAGCCCAAGATGTGTCAAGGCGGAGTTAGTCTCAGGGAATGTAACATTCTTGCCGCGATGCTCGTCACATTCCACGCCAAAACCTCACCGCAAGTCGCATGTCCTTTGGCATCTGAGGCGGCTTCAGTGCCCTCCAAGCCCTCAAGGACGACGGCGCGTCTGGAAACTAGGGCAAGGTCGTCGCAGAGGCCATCATCCGGCATCAGGACATGAGCGCCGACGGTGCCATTACTATACCGGCCAGCCGATTCATGTCGCGACGCTGTATAATAACCTTTGTAGGCATTCGCTTGCAAGTAGGTTTGAGAGAACGAGCCATGGGAACCCGCGGAGGGAGATCAATGAGGCGTGGCCGAGACTTGGTTGGTTTTTTTTGGTTGCTGGGACTGGGAAGAGGGAGGAGGGGGTGAGGGCTCGGTGCCATTCTCCGCATGTTTTTGATTTGGATAAAGAAACTGAGGGGAACAACCTAATGAGGGGAGTAGATGGTGCGGTCGTTGAGTATAGTTGAATAATCGAGGTAGATCCTTGAGCAATGGTGTGCCATGATGGTGTCCAAGAACCAGGTCTGGCCGCAGTAAAGGGGTACATAACAGACTTATGACAACAAAGGATACCTGTTCAACAAGCCACATCGCTACTTATCACTTGGCTCTTCCCACGTCATTGTCTTCGAATATCATTCATAACGTGTTCCTCCTGCTTTGGTGAGAAAGATAGGACACCTCAATCACCTATGGACGATTTAAGAATCAATCGGAAGTGTGGTGTGCATGTCACCGGCCGAAGAATCGTCCGACAGGAACAATCATTTAGGCGCCTACCTTACCGGAGCTTCACCGCCATCGGATGATCACAGAACACTCTGAAAGGCTTCTTCAAGGAAAAAGCCGTGTTCGTGGGTTTCCCTTGGCTTACGTTCATGTCGGTGCGAGAGCACTTGACAGAAACATCCAGATGAAGGTGGATGACTATTATCCAGGGAGCTCACCCATCCAACTCCTCTGTGAACTCTCGAATTACGTCCTCATTTCAGTGTGCATGTAAATTCTTTGACGCTACTTTTAATGGTTTTCTAGCTTTTAGCTTTCACTGAAAAAAAGCGAGTGGAGTTAGGCAATCTACACTGCCGGTGAAATATGACCCGGGTACTGATGAGGCATCATTCCTTGAAGATGGAGCTGGAATGACTTTAGGAACATGCTTCTAATCCGTTTCATTTTGAGGGTGGTCATGGCTGGGTGGTATTATTTGAGATGGATACGAACATCAGCACTCTCGCTCTTTCAATGTAGAGCAAGAAGCAAGCTTGAGACCACAGAATGAAGGCCTTGAATGCTTTATCAGTGGGTATCTCCAATGTAACATCACTTTTGCCCCTCATTTCCACATGATTCCTCTACCGCACCAAAGCCATGGCCCCAGTTTGCTGTGTAGACAAAGAACACTTCTTAGCTATGAGCCCATGTTTGCAGCAGTCAAAGGGCCTTACCATGAACATTCACCCGGACGCCTTTGCAGTAGTTTCATGGTCTATGCGTGTTTGAATCTAAAATTCCAAGTAAATTCGGTGTGCTTGCTTGTTTCCATTTCGTGGATGATGGTCATCTTTAGGTGACCAGATGCGCCGCACGAACATCAAAGAGCCGCAGTGTGTATTGTACCTGACAGATCCCTCCCTTAGACTTTTCAGATCCACTTACAAACTTTCTCTATCTTTGTTCATGGAACCGCCTTATTCCGCTACCACCGCTCCAGTTCAGCTGATCTAGAATAGCTGTCAACTGTAGACCCTATTCCACAATACCTTGCTCTTAAGGTTCTAGGTTATCATACGATCGACTATAAGGACCTACGAATAACCGCGGTCCATCTTCTGTCGTTGAGATTCTGCCGCACGCGCTTTGAACTCATTATCTCAGATCGTCTACACACAGCCGCTACATCCACGCCCTACAACACTACTCCACACGACATAACTGAACCACATCTACTCATTTCAGCACAACAGCTTGATCAAGAGCAAGGAAGAGCAACAAAAAGTACAAGAACTCCAAGTATAGCAGCTATAAGTCACCAAAAAAGGAAAGGGATAATCACGTCTCCTTCTCCCGCTTATCACTCTCTTACAACCTTGAAAGTCACTCGAGCGACGAAGACATGGCTGGCCCATCAACCTTAGAATTGGACAGACTTTACGACAGAATAAACGACCTTAACGCGGATATTGAAGATGCGCGGAAGGATATGGAGGAAATTAAAGCTAGAATGGAGCGGCTTGAGAAGCAATTGAAGGCGGCGGAGGAAGAAAAGGAACAGTCAGAACTGGCACAGAAGAAAGAATGAAACAGCACATTGGGCAGGAAGCAAATCATTCTGACAGAAAGCCAGGGCATGGTCAGTCAATTCGCTTCTCCACGGCCTGCATTCAAGTTGTCTTGGCCAAAAGAAATCTAGGCCGCTGGGTATCTAGTCTTTATAGCGTGCGCGTACATCAAGTTATTTAGATCTATGCGTTTGTCATGACTACCTTAGACAGTATTTACCGGCATACATCTCTCATAACGCAGTCATTACCCTCAATAACAGTCATTACCTTCACTGAGCTGAAATTTATGCTGTGAAGAAGAAGCGTTTGTATCAGGCGGTTATGCGTCTATGACGATTGACAGGTACACCATGGACATTCTCTTGATTGCTTTGATGGCAATATAGCCGCCTCCGTGTAACCCCAAGATCCATTGGAAAGCTTTTATGAATGAGAATAGACGGTCATCTGGGTCACTTGGGCAAAGGCTGTTCATCTCTGAATAGCACTGTTTTACCGACCTAAATAACAGACGCAAAACGGCGCAGTAAACCTCGAACACTACGCTTGAGGGAATTCTCCTTCACTCTTTATCCTCTGAGGCAACTCCATCTGTCATCGTTTGTCGAATTATCTTGACGGTACAACCACTGAATTCCGAGTCTTATTCGCTTATGGGAGCTTGCCTTCCCCTCCCAGCTGCTCATTCATGATGTTTACCTTGCTGCGAGGTTCCAGGTCTTTAAATTGCCGATTATAAGACCGAGCGTCCGGCCCCGTCCTCCTTGTTCCTATTAACACACTCTCTTCCGAAAAAGTATCATCCTTTTGCTTCGAATCTTCTGCACAGAGACAACGCTATCTTGACACTGCACTTGATGCCACATCTTCTTTACGCTCCAGATTTGGACAAGAGTCTCTAACCACCCGCCAACGTCAAGAGCCCCTGACTACTCCTCCCACGCTACCTCATCCTCTTCAGGAACGACCTTGTTCGTCCCTAGACCGACGACAAACATGTCTGGAAGCAAATCAACCGACGAGATGATTCAGGCTCTCAATGAAATAGCAAATAGAGGGCCCCAACCCTCAGACGCGGCGCAGATCGCGGAGGCAGCGAAGAAACTAGCGCAAATGCAGATCACGATTGACGCGGCGGCGAAAAAGAATTAGAGCCAAATTTGCATACGACTTGGTCAAAACTCCTATACAGAGCAAGACAATGGGCACCCGGCCCTCTGGTTCCTAGCTTGGACTTGAAACATCTGGGAGTCAAGCAATTGCCGGTTATACAAGTATGCGTCATGGCTAGGAAGAATTTGCTCGACATAGTCCCTCACAGCGACTCCGCAACTTTCTTGTCAGGGTCTTCTTGTCAGGGTCCTGTAATTAGCATAATTATGCAGTCAGTTGAAAACCTCTGAAAAAGATCCAAAAAAGTTTATTCTTAACATTCATTCGTACCCGAGGACCTTGATCTGCCCTTGGATACGCGATGCGTGCGTGAGGCGCTGAAGTGGGGAGTGATAAGGCGTTCCCTAGTGCCGAAAAAAGAGTTCGGCATAGCTTGAGAATGTTTCTAAAGACTTGAAGGACCAAATCACGATAAAAGCAGAACTTAAGGATAGAAAATCAGGTACGGAACTGTTGGATTACAGCCACCTTATTCACACAATACCCGAGCCGTTCTGGCAGAAGCAATATAGACTGCTAGCGATCGACGGATCAGACACGGCAAAGATATTGCCGCGTAGAGGAGAACACGGGAGCATCCCTTTTGAGGCGTAATTGAGCCATGTCGTTCCAAGTGTTGCCATGGTCGGGCGAGCTACAAATGTACAGTCTTGTTGGAACGATGTTACAGGAAAAGGGAACTTGGTGCTCAGCAATGCCACTAAGAGCGTCAGAGAGATTCAACGTTGTGGTCTTGTCTCTACATGGAAGAAGAGATAAGGAATCCAACGAGAAGGGCTAGATGCCTGGATCTCAGACCTATCTATGAGTAACATAAGCGCAACTATGGGATGTACCATTTGTTTCCTATCTGTTCCAATACTCGCTGTATTCTATACCGTCAGACTATGCCTGGTAATCAGGGGCTTTTCGTCGTAATCATCCGAATGTGGTGGTTTGAAGAGGCGGTCGATAGACCAAGGGCATCGTCGTAATATTACCGATCTGAACGATAAGCCGTTGCTGGCGTCTACTTACATCTCCCATCATACGAAGCTCGGGGATTCGGAACCATGGAACTGATGGTACCAGCTGCGGAATGCTGAGCATATCAATGAGGGCGTCGTTGTGCCGGCCTTGGCCTGGGCATACCATTGGTGGTGTGGTACCAAAACACAGCACTTCATCACTGCGGTGGCGCCGAGATACCGTACATACCGAGCACGCTGGTGTAGATTCCATGTCGTCGTGATGTCGGGCCTGTCGGTCTTCGCCGACTCTGTGATGCCGTATGTGCCGCAGAGGGGTCTGACGTCGTCGAGAGGGTCTTCCTAGGGGTCAACAGAGGTTCATCACTACCTGCCACGTCTCGTCGTGACGGCTTCTGATAAGGATGATGTCTAGTGTTAAGGTAGAGAACGCAGATTTTTCATTGATATGTAGAGCAAGAAACGGGATTAGATTTGCCATTCAGGTTCCAGAATCGTCCTTTCTGGTCGCCATATTTCGCAACCGATGAGTGACCCCTTACTACGTACACGATTAGCGCTGATCTATTGATACAAGTTCGTGCTGTTCAAAAACAGAGTTCAGTCGTAACAGAAGGCGCTTGGCAATAATTCAGAAGGGGGTGGGAGGTGTCACACATTCAGAAACACATGCTCACCAAGCTGCATTTCCACCGCCCTGGCCCGGGCCACCTCAGTACTAATCTACAAATCTCAGCGAGAATCTATTTCTCTTTCCCTAGTTGTACTAGAAGTAATGGAATTATGCGAGGCTCCAGAGGATGACTTCAGACTCACGGGACAAATGACTTTGTTCGCCAAGAGGACGGTTCGGCGCAATTTGATTACCTGTCCTATTGGCAAGCTCGTGGCTGTCAAACAGCCGTTCGTGAACAGTTGATCGAGCGCTTTCTTCGGTGGCGGTTCAAACATGGCTACGGCATAAAAATAGACTACTTGATGGTGTTGAGCGTGGGTGGTGTGCTGTTCAATGGTTTTTGTTTGGGTAAAAGCTAGGCCTTTGAGTGGCCACGATTCACCGACATGAATACCATGCAAACAGCCACACCAAAGATACTCCGTACTGGCTCTGAGAGGGACCACTGTCTCTATTATTTCCTTCAGTATTCCTTCAGTTTTCCATCGTTGTTCATCGACTCAATTTGTCGTTTATACCGCCACAGTCTAGGTGCCACGTACTTATCCACAGTAGTTGACATCCCTCTTTCTGCCCACTTCCGCAATACCTTTCTACGGGTCAGGAGATTGAACGTGACAGCTCATGGAACATGAGACTGAAGCAACTTTGAGGAGGCGTACTCGACTTGGTTTATTGGGAACTGTCATTGCCTGGGTTGGATGAGCCGGATACCTATTCGCCTACCTACCCATCCGCTTTCCTTTACCAAAGAGCAAAAAGCAAATTTGAGGATCACACGATGAGAGACATTGAATGCTTCAACAGTGGGATCTCCAGACAATAACCTTGCTTCCCTTTTCCACATGAAATGCTTTACCGGCCTCAAGCCATGGGCGCAAGTTGACGTTGTGCAGACTAAGCAGACTAGTCAGGTATAAGCCCATGTTTGCCGTAGTCAAATGCATTTGCCATGGAGGCTCACCCAGGCACGCTTCTAGCATTTTGCCGCCCTCGTACATATTCGCGATACTGCCAAGTGGAAGAGCAAGTGTACTTGCCACTTTCCATTGGGTGGCTGATCATCGTTGTGCGACCAGCTTCGCCGCGCGAACATCAAAGAAACGGGCTGGATTGGGGGTGTTTTGCTTGATAGATGCTACCCTCCCCTGAATTTCTTAGCATCATCTCACAAGATCTATCTATCACTGTTCACTGAATCGCCTGATGTTGCTATCACTGTTCAGGTACGGCTAAGGTACCCAAAGCAAGTGTTCCCCATAGTCTCCTGCCCACAACGCCATGTTGTGATGGCTCAGGTCCAAAGCCTATGGATTATAAGAACCCGCGGATAACCTCATACTATCTATTGTTCATGATTCGTTAGACGCTACCGAACGCTTCAAGATCCCTTATCAGATCGCCTCCATAAACTAAGGAAGTACGCACGCTCAACACATTTTGATCAGCAACAAGAAACAACAACTTGGAGCAAAGGCTGTCTAAAGATAACAACTGTACCATTCTCCAGCACAAAGAACATTCGCGTTTCCTTTCGCCAAAACTCAGTATTCAGCATCTTGAACACTAGTCGAGTACCTGAGAAATGTCTGGAAGTGACAGAAAGCCCGAGTGGAGAAAACAGTTAGAGAGGTTGGTAGCAGAGATCAGCCAAATGAGCCCCGAACGGCAAGCCCTCCCTGAGAACCAAGCTGTGATCGAAAGCTTGAAACATATCGAAGAATTGGAGGACGAGCTAGCATCGCACGAGCAGCGTCGAAGGGATCTTCAGCAACAGTAGAACGCCACAAGGAAACAGAGATTACCGTACGACGATGCCATTTCAAGCAATCTGGTCCGCCAGCGAGACGTGATCAAACACGACCAAGCAACCCATGAAAGGGAGGAGTATTTGATTTATTAAGGGATACAAGTCGTCTCAGCTGATGCTGGAGGAATCTTTTATTCGCCTCATTGAGCGGCAGTTTCTTCGGGCGATCTCTACAACACCACGGTCCTTACCTCCACTAAAGAACGGAAATCAAGTCTTATAAATAGTATACTTACTCAGAAGAAACCTCGAGAAAATAACCAAAAAAAACAATCATCATTATCAAAATGTTCTCAATCACTTATCTTGACATGCCGTTGTATCACCTCAGCAGGAGTGGGCGTGGAAGTGGGGTGAACAGCATCGTGAACCACCAAGATGAAAAGTGTCAAAGTGCATTAACAAAAAACATACAACTCCAGGTATTCGCTGGTCGTCACCGACCCAACTACTAATCCGGCCCTCACTGGCTTGCTTATCTATGGGAGAGCGGACGGGATCCCGAGTTTTCCAATGGGTATGGTCGTATGTGATGGCTTGTTGAGTGCAAGCTGATTATGATCTGGTGGTTCTCCGGAATGGGTCTGGGGATCAGCATCGGCGCCTCAAGTCGCGCCCTCTATGCATCTTGAGGCTCCTACATGGAGAATATGCTTTCCTGTTATGATGTAACACAAGAAATCATGGTCTTGTCAGAGGGTCGGGTCCCGTCATCTACACATCTCGTCATGGACAGCATGACGAATCGCCTATACCGAATCGTCTCACAGGATAACACTACTGCAGAAACACTCTTGAAATCCGGAAGTTGCATGATACAGACTTGGTATTGTAGAGTGACTGTAGCTATTCATACATACTTTGACATCAAGGGCCTGGAGCTTTCCTGCCTCTGTCCCCCGAAATGAGCTATTCTGTGGAATGGGTGAATCGTGAGGTCCAGACAAAAGGCCTATCGCTGAATGAAATTGTTTGAAGTGATTCTTATTTTCTTTAAAGCGTTGTTTCTGGGTATCCGTTACTGTTTGGCCCGTTGAAGGTCACTTGCTCTTCAAGTATGGACTTCCACGCGGCCAACCGGCAGTTGAAATCTTGTCATCAGGGCCCTTGTCAGCCCTCCGCGCTCAAATCGCCTTACTCTGCTAGAATACGAGCCAAAGACACTGGTTTCTTTGAGAGAGTTCTCCTTATCGTCACCACCATTCAAAGAGTTTAGTTGTGGGAGCCAAGGATCCGGACTACGGTAGCTTGGCTTGCTCCAGGGTCGAACGTCTGCGGCTCGGTAGCCAAAGAGGAAGTCATATTAACAGCGCTACAATAGAGGTCAAGAGCGAACACCTTCGCTGAGGAGTCACTCATTGGTTGCGCTAATAACCATTTACGAGTTCGAGCCATTACGCCGCTGAGTGTCATCGGTGTGCTCTCATCATGGTCACATTAGGAATAAGGAGCGGGAGACGAGAAAGTCTGCCAGAAGGCATCAGTGTTAGACATGCATCATCAAACATCTATCATCCCTGCTTCTTCGTACATGATCCAAAGACATGTCCAACAGAAGCTTGTGGATGAAGCAATGGATTTGACTTGATCCAAACTCCGGAGAGCCGATTTCCCTAGCCCCAACCACATCCGTTGATTCGTATACAACGACAGATTACCAACAACACACCGTCCACCTAGCCAAAGACTCATCCTAGCCACCTAGAACCGAAGGGCCGCGGGCACCGAGCCGGGACCGGAAGACACTTTCTTCCGTCCCCCGTGGAATCGGCCCCTAACCTCCCTCCCCGGCCCGAACCTCCGCGCCCGCAAAAGGTCCGATACCCCAGACCCCGGACCCCGTGCTCCCCTCCACTCCCAAGAGAAAATCATCTACTCTAAACCTCTGTAAATTCAGGCACATATCACTCCTACTAACATATCAGTCTTCATAGCATACTGGCCCTCCTAAGAAATGTGGCATGATGGGACGAGCATAGGCGCAGAAAATCAGGCGGTTTGAATGCCTTTTCTTGGAAAAGGGTCCAAATCGGCAGATGCCGTCAAACATTCACCCTCTGCGGTGACACCATCTAAGAAAAGAAGTTCTGGAACCCCTTCTCAGCCTTCCTATTCTTCTTCCATAATGCTCCTGAAGCTGTACTTACATTCACCCCGCAAACTAAGCCTCGTCCAGACGGGAGAGTAACATCCAACAGGAGCCAAAAACAGAAAATAGAACCCCAAACCAACGCCTCAACGTCGCACCTATCCCTCGCCAAACACTAAACACCAAAAAAGCGGATTAAACAAGACCCTCCAAAAAGGGCTGAGAGAATAATCCAATATACACAAAACCATCACCTCCCATCTCGAATCCACCCGCAAGCATGCGGCCGCATAGCGTCCGAGTGGTATAAGTCCAGTCTAGATGCCTTGGCGTTCGAAACCCTCCCCAACCCCACACAGTGAACAGTCGTGAATAGATTAGGGCCGTGTGGGATGCGAAATGCTTCAACGTCGACAGCCTGGTCTTGCGTTCTGATACGCGTCTGGGGAGCTGGCTTCTTCTGTTTCTAGCCCGTGACGTATCTGGAAGAATGGATCGGGCTGATGCAGTAGGCGGGCTAGGTGGAAGACCAGGTCGTGGTTTCAGATACCTGATAGATATTCCGGTCTCAAGATACCCTTCTATCACGACGGACGCGCGCGGGAGCGTGCGGGCGCGTAGAGGTAGGGAAGAAAGCCAGGGGGAGTATGAACGTGTACACTAATATCACGATCCCTATCCCATAGAACCAGATGCCGACCCCATGTCAACTCCACGTCCAAGGCTGAGAGACTCAAACAGCAGGATTACCTACCAACCTGGCCTACCTAACCCAAGAGAGAAGAACTAGACGTAGAGAGAACCACCAAGGCTGAAGAATAACATGGGTGTATTCTTTTTTAGAGCGAACCCACGACCGGCCGCGATGCGGCCCCCCGATTTCCAGGGGGGTGGTCCGCCGGCCAAAACAAGCCGTCGCTCGTCCTCCCCGAGACAAGGGAACCGTGACGTCTGTAAGGCAGCCATGTGAGAATCCCAAACTCGACCCCTCATTCTCTACCCCTCCACGCCCTTCCTGCCCGCACCCAGACTCTAGATCCACCTCGCCTGGAGCACATTCACACCGTGTCTACCGCCCTCCAACCCGCTAAAGAAAGAGGCTCTTTTCTCCCCCATCCTTACGCCTTTTCACCTCCCACCACCATGCGTCCAATCCGTCCGTCATCTGGTCCTCGACTCGCGCAAGTGTATCATCTGAACCACCTCGCCTTCAGCCCCAAACCTCACCAGCAGGCCATGGGCGCAAAGGCGCAGGCGCGGGGGGGATGCGACCAATCACATCACCCGTGCCCCTTTCCAGAAGCCTTCCATCCCAAATCTGGCAGGTTACTCACCCAGGACAGGACGCACAAAGATCGGATGAGATGATGCTGCGTCATATTGATCATTCGGCACTCACCCCCTCAAAAACCTGTCAGCCAGAAAGCCCGTCGGCGCCGACGGAGGCCGGCCCCATCGGCCGCGGGGTGGGGGCTTGGCATTTCATGTAACCCGCATATGGCTGTGCGTCATGTCTGAGTATGTGGCCTCGCTGCCGCTCCTGGTGGTGGCCCTGCTTGCTCTTCTACTTCTACTCTTCGTAGAATGGATTATGTTTACATTCTAAGATGTACCTTATAATAATAATACAGTTCGTCGGCGTCGTCGACGACAGGGTCGCACTGCGTCAGAACCCCGCGTTCCGCTTGTGCCGTTCCCTGCCGTATCGTGCCATCCATCGTGATTCCTTTCACTTCCCCTGGGAGGTGTCAAAAGTTCAGCCCTTCCCGTCGTTGCAGAGCCCCATTCCTGATTCTATACAATGTATGCGACCCTCGCTTATCCCATTGTGCCCTGTTTTGCACTATACCAAAGAGAAAGAAGAACCGTCCGACGCCAGTAGCACACGCTGAACATGCACATGTCATGTCCCCTGGCGTGTCTCAAAACATGTGCCCCAGAACCCAGACGCCGATCGCTATGCAAACCTCTAAATGCAACCCCGTCAATGCCCTCGCCGGCCTGACGGCACCACCGCCATTCTTCTTCGTCTCAGACGGCACCGGCGACGGCGCCGCCGCCGTCGAGGGCACGTCGATTGTCGTAATCACCGTCGGCCCAAACGGGTACGGAAGAGTAATCGTCGAAACGACCACGCCGGACGGACCGATCGTGATGGTCTCGCCGCCAAACACCTTTGTCGTTGTCCCCTTTCCTGGCCCCACGGTGAAGCTTGTGCCGTCTACGACCACCACCGATGCCCCGACTTGCGTGACTGAAGCGCCGCCCACGATCTCGTAGGTGGTGTCCGTTGCCTTTGCCCCAGGACCTCCCACAGTGATATTGCGCACAGAAACCCCCGAGGGTCCTATCGAGATAGTATCGTCATCTACAACCTTTGTGATGACTGTTGAAACTAGTCCGTATGTAAACGTGGTCGACCGGATGACGACCACGGATGGGCCAATGGCAGTAATCATCTCGCCGCCTGCCACGACGATCTCCGTTTGGACCGGGGACGCGCTGCTGATCGAAACGGTTCGTTTGGGGACGGCCACTGCGGATGGCTGGATTGTCGTCTTCTGCCCATCGATCACGGTCGTCAGTGGAGCAGCGCGGCCGGATGAAACAGTTTCCCCGGGGGCACCGGCCGCTGATGGCACAAGTGTGATGGTCTGCCCTTTCACCACTGTCGTTACCGGAGCTGCACCGCCGATTGGAGCCTTTGGATCCGGGACAATGACGGCGGATGGCTCAATAGTGATCGTCTGGCCTTCAACCACAGCCGTTATGGGAGTAGCCTGCACCCCAAACGTCGTCCCACCGACGACAACAACGTTTTGCGTTCCTGCGGGCGCAATCACAATAGGCAAGTCGCCCACCACCGTGCTGGATGGAATCA